TGATTTACTGAATAAAGAAGTTCTTTAAGTTTTCAGTTTTGGAACATTACCAGTGTGTCTGAACCTAGGTTTCAAATTTTACTGGCATTTTGTTGGCAAACCAATTTTTTGGAGTCCTTTCTTATTTGGGTATGTTTCCTGACACCTTTGGCTGTATGGTACTGTGTTTTAAAATTCTCTTTTTCTTTTTTTAAGAGGAAAAGCCTATAAACATATACAAAGGACTAATTATAAAATATCTGGTATGAAAATAGAGAGACAACAAAATTACCAGCTGAAAAGTGCAGTGAGCAGAAAAAATGAGCATTTAATGGCAGAGTTTTACCCAGCTTGTTCAGCAGGCCTGATTCTCAAAAGCAATTCCACAGGCAAAGCATGCACTATTCTGAGACCATAATATGGTAATTTAAATCAAGCATGAGTACCTGGGTGGTAAGAAAGAGGTGATTTAGTCTTCCCTTCTATCCACTGACCTCTTTTACTGTTGCTTCCCTTTTGCCAACATCAGTGTTCATTTATGGTGAGCCAGATTAGAGCATTGATCCAGCTGAAAAATAACTCACATGCCTTTGCCCTACTTACAGTCTTCCTATATACTGTAGTTTTGCTCTCAAAGACTAACCATCTAGCAAAAGTATATATAAGTTGCTAACTTATGTCATTCATGGTGTTAATAGATTATTCCTTGGTGGAAAAATCATGACTAGTATAGGACAATCTTTTTTTTGGTAGTATTTAGTGAAGTAAGGTACAAGAAACTAGTAGTCCAAGATTTCAGAACTTTTTTAATTTTCCACAAGCCTGGGACAATCCCTTAATGCTTTTTCTCACTCATGTATCTAAGGAGTTCAAATAGAATTTGACACTAAATGGTCCTTTCTGTACTAACATTGCTAAAGGGAAACCCACTATAAAGTGAAAGAAACTGTGAATTTTTGCAATAGAACAGAAGAGTGCTTTCATGTAATGGTGTATTCTGGCACATATTTTGCCTGCTGGATATAGGCAAAGTTATAACAGTGCAGAGCAGTAAGATTCCTATAATTTAAATAAGCCTCGGGAAGATTAACACTTTAGGTGTTCTTCTGCTTGTCCCAAATGTGGGAGTCAGTATTTTGGGACCCTGCATATTGCACCTGGTCATGAATAAAATACTGCATGGAAAGTGGAAGATGGATAAAATTAAATATTTAGACCAGTAAGAGAGTGTGAAAATTACTTTAATCTAGGATCCTACTTGGGATAGGGGATTCCTGTGAACCACCTTTGGGCTAAATTGTTAATCTACTAATTAGTAGCTAATGGCTAGTTTCTGACTGATTTCAACTGAACTTAAAGGACAGCTAGACACAACAGAGATACCAAGTTACTGTACATTTCTTGGAGTCAAAGAATCACTCAGATTGGAAGAGATCCTTCAAGGTTTCTAGTCCAACCTCCTTTTAAGCAGGGTCAACAATGAATTCAGACCAGCTTGCTCAGGGCTTTTTCTAGTCAGGTCTTGAAAAACTCCAAGGATGAAAATGCTCCACAGCCTCTCTGCATACTATTCCAATGCTTAGTTATCTTCAGAGGTGAGTGTTATTCACAAATGTGATGAATGTGCATGCCATTTCCTCCTACAGTCAATGGTAATATAGATACTAAGATATTAAACAGGATATAGGTCTCAGGATAAACCCCTGAGGAACTGCAGTTGTGTCCAGCCTACAGATAGAGTACAAATCATTACTTTTCCGTCCCAGAATCGAGACACTTTTTGCTCATCTGGTAGTACATCCATCTAGACCACAGTGGCCAAAATTGGATTACAGAGGTGCTGTGAAAGACCATCCTGGAGATGGTTGCAACATTTGCCCTTCTCCATTCATCTGGGGCTTCCCTTGTCCCCATGACCATGATGATGTCAGCCACAACAGCCTTGATGTGCCATCAGCCAGCTCTCTCAGCACTATCAGATGCATCCCATCTGCTCTCATGGACTTGTATGAGTCAAGATTTATCAAAAGATCCATGAGATCAAATATTTTCTACTGTTGGTATTTCCTCTTTGCCATGTCTGTGTGTGTAAAGGCCTGGGAGACCTTGGTGAAGACTGGGGCTAAGAGCATTGAGTAACTCAGCTTTAGGTGTGTCTGCTGTGCTTTTGCCTCAGCTGCAAGCCCATGTTTTCTTTGTTTATTCTTATCAGGTAGCAGAAGTTCTTGTTGCCATGTTTCTTGCCAATATCTACTATTATTGAACTTCAGCTTTCCTAATACCATCCTTACTTGTCTGGACAATGTGTCTGCATTTCTCCTTTGTAGCATTTCTCCTTCCTTTCATCTCTTTTGGACATTCTTTTTACAGTCATGAATTCCCTTTTTAGCCTGATATATGTGTTAAGAGCTTGTCCATAAGCATCCCCCACAAGTCAGCTGGATTGCTTGTATCCCACTTTGTTTGCCTCTTAGCAGATATTGGGAGAGGGGAAATTCCCATAGGAATCAGAATCTGTGATCTGCAGATGTCCTCAAGTTTCTCAGAAAATACTTTTTCCACTTACTCCTTCTGATTAAGTGGTCTGTAGGACTCCCGCCATGATGTTGTTCTTGGTGGCTTCTCCCCTGGTCATGGCCCACCAGCTCTCAATCAGTGTACTGCCTGTTTTACAGAAGAGCTCCGTATCTTTGAGCTCCTTCAGGTACTCATGTTCTCATGGAAACAGGCTTCTGGGTAGGGGAGAGCGACCCCGATCAGTGCTGGCAGCAAGGAATCTGCAGCATGGACTAGAGAGTTACCTGTTCTGCTTGGCCAGCACGCCCTCTGGCAGGCCATTGAGCACACAGAGCTTGGAATCACACAAGCATCATGTAGTTGAGGGCTATGAAAAGGAGATGAAGGACAATGGAGGAGAGTTTAGGAAAAATATTAGTAAGCACACTGCTCACTTCTGAATGGGACATAATGGACAGAAACAGTAGATAGAAAGTAGTAAAGCAAGTGTTCAGGGCACCTTTTTGTGCAAAATAATACAAGAAACTGGTCAAAAGGCATGTTCCTTTTCATTTGACTAAAAATGGAAATATTTTTTTTACGTTGCTTTTATAATACTCTGTAAACAAGCTATTTGAGAGTGAGATTTTCAGACAAGGAACTTGAAGTGAAGGGATAAATCTCTTCATAACTTACCCTCTTGTGCCCAGGTATTTTAACATCTGGAATGTAATGCTGCCTGTTGTAATACCTCTGCAATACTGTAACACAGCAGGATGCATTAATGAGAGTTTCAATCTTAAACCCACAACATCAATGAAATTTATAGTTGTCAAGCCATTAACATTATTCAAACATAGTTTTTGTGGTTTCAATTCCCATTTTACGTTCATGTAGGAAGAAAAGTCATTGTGTTGACTAGCCATGAAGACAGAGTCTTTCTTAGACTTGAAATTTCTATAAAACAATTAAGTATTTTTTATTATTCTTGACAGCATTCATAGTATGCACTTCAGGGCAGGGGGAGGGTATTTGTATAAAAAAATTGTGCTAGAATCTCTCTCTTAATATTTCAGCTTGTTTAATATTCTTGAATACCAGAAGTGCCTTGCTCACGTTTTGGAAAATACCACAAAAATGTTCAAAGAAGAAAAGAAAAATTTACATAAATTTCTAGTATCATCTTCTATGGTCATGTAGATGGCATGTGATACTCTTCCTGATGAGTAAATATGTCTTCAGATGTTTCATGTTTCCCTACTCTTGTATCTCAGTGTGGTCTTTTGACTTAATATGTAGAGCAAGTTAGTTAAAGGGCATGAAAAAGAACATAGAATTTCTTGAAGGAAGAAATTTCAGGGGGAAAATGTGGTGAGCACTGTGATTAAGTCACTCTGCAGAAAAATGAAATCATTAAATCTGCAACTGATTAAGTTGAAAGAAAAGAAGGGAAGTCAATATGTAAAAAAGTGCACGTACAGTTACTTTCTGGTAGGGAAAATCCAAGTTGTTTCTCCCAGAAAAAAACTAATAAGCACACACAATTTACAAAGCTCTGAAGTTGGGGGGGGTCAGAGGAAATAATTTTGAACGGTACTTTTTGCTGATTTGGACTGCACTTATCTCCAAGACAAGATTGCTTTTACATGAATGAACAACTTGATATTTGTGCCCATGTTAGAAGCAAATTTGTAGGCTATACATCACTTTCTGGGTTTACCTTGCTGGCAACATCTTGAATATCTGTTTTATCTGTTAAAGAACTCTTCCTGAAAATGTGAAATGGAGGAGGATCATAGAACAGTTCAGATCTGTTTTAAAGTAGCTTGAATGAAGTTCTCAAAGTAGGGTTTTTTCTTCTTTCTTTACACCTAGCATTGACTCATTTGGTGGTGTTAAAGTGCACTTTCTACTTATCCCCAGAGGAAAGTTAGTATTCTTTTAAGTGAAACTATTCTAAAAGCAGAACACAAGCCTAAAATAAGCCAGTGTTCTCTAGAGTTCTCAGAAGGTGTAGATTTATTTACTGTAGTTAAATCATAATTAGTTCTCAGGGGATAGTGTATCTTTTAAACTGCTTTATTGCCACCATATTGGTTTTCTAAATAATCAGAAACTGCTGCTCTTATATTCTATAGTATGAACAAAAATTTGCTGTAAGTAGAAACAAATGTGTAGAATTGCTAGTTGTCACTTACTGAAGATAGTGACACACAAAAAGTAAGCCCTTCAAGAAAATGTGAAGAAATGCAAAACGTATGTTATCAGAAGGCACCTTAAATGAACGATGGCTATAACTTTTTCCAGCGTAATATATATAGTAATGTTTTACATTATCATTTTTCAGTTAATCTTTTTTTAATATTCTAATTCTTTTTAGTCAAGAATAAATGTTAACTGAAAATGGATAAATGGTAGTGCAATGTTAATGTAAAATATTACCTGATATTTAAGCCTAGATTTTCATGAATGTAGCCTAGTGTTCCAGCTGATAAGCATGGGGTTTTTTTTTTCCTAATTGGCAGGTTAATGTTCGAGTTGCCTGAGGAGATGGGTTTAATAGCAATTGCTGTTCGACAAACGCAAGGGAAAGGTG